TTAACAAAAAGGGGGAGAAGAATAAGTGTTAAATGTTTTACTTGATAAATTGAAGAAGTGTTAAATGTTTTGAAAATAGGCTTGAAATGCTCAAACTTGAGGTTTGATGCTTTCTCTTTGATTCTCTCTTGATTCTAGTTGCTTGATGTTTCTTGTTATTGATCAATGGCTTCTAAGCTTGCTTAAATACACCTTGGATCACTTCTGAACGTTGGGGATGATTAGAGAAGATATTATAGCCGTTTTAGTGTGAAAACATTTAATAAAACAGCTTGGTGTGTGGGGGGAATCGGTTCCCCTTTGAAGGGAATCGGTTCCTAAGTGTAAAATTCAAATATTTCGACCGTTGTACAAGGGGGGAATCGGTACCCCCTTGGGGGGGATCGGTTCCCTCCGAGCATACTGGAATTCTCGGAGCAAAACTGTTTAGGGGGGAATCGGTTCCTCCTATGGGGAGAATCGGTTCCCTCCGAGCATTCTGGAAATCTCGGAGCCAAACCATTCAGGGGGGAATCGGTTCCTCCTATGGGGGGGAATCGGTTCCCTCTGAGCAATCTGGAATTTTTGGCTTTGAATTGGTTCGAAATACTTTGTAAAATTATTTTGAAATTGTTTTATGATTAAAACTTAATTTTACACTTAAGTAAGGATTAAAAATGATTTTTGAAATATTTGGAGTAATGTTTTGATATTCGAATAGTTATATCGAATATACTTAGAAAATCATTTGGAAAATCTTAAAATCCATTTAACTTAATTTGTTATATCGAAATATCAAAATGTTTCAACAATTCGCCATGTCATCAATCACTGTGGACTGCCATGTTAGTACCGTGGACTATCACACCATCACCGTAACGATTAACCACGGAAAACGTTGGTCAAAGGATCACATTTAGTTTGTTTTATGAGTTAAAGGTTAATATTGTGAGAAAAAAATAATACGAGTACTCTATTAATTTAAATTAAATAGGAGTATAAGAATACATTTTTAAAATAAATAATTTATAATCAACTTTTTCAAATTAAATCGTGTGACTGACTAATATTAAATAAAATTAGTTTAATATAAGAGAAAAATAATAATATTTCTATCAAACGTCCACTATACTTTGTCATTTGGTAGCTGAGCCAAAAGAAAAAAAAATGTTATTCAGTGATGGATATTCACATATTAAAAGTTTAAAAAAAATCAGGGATTAAATGATTGTTTTAAAAAAATCTGAGGGCCTAAAAATATTTTTTTACAAAAAATTAAGAAGTTTAATGAAAAGTTAAGGTTTGAGAAATCTACTTAAAAATCCAAAAGTTTTATGGTAAATTATGCAAATAATCCCCAAATTATAAGATGTTTATTTTAGTCTTCAACTATAACAAAATTATAAAATGATCACTTAATTAAAAAAATAACAAATTATTATTTTATTTTAAAAATCCATATGACCCGATATTTAATAAAATTGGCATACTAATAAATTTAACCTTTAATTTTCATGTTTCATTTTAATTTAATCATAATTCTAGAAGAAAAAGACTCAATATGTTAATATTCTCAAAAGTTAAAAGAGAAACTAAATTGTTAGAATATTAAAATGTCAAGATCAACCTTTTAGAATTATATTTAAATTAAAATAAAGTGTAAAGTTTATGGATAAATTTATTATTATACCACTTTTATTAACTATCAGGTCACATGTCTTTAAACTTTTAATGGAAAATGATTAACCTTTTTTAGTTAAATGATTATTTTATAACTTTTTATAGTTAAAGGACTTAAAAACGTTTTCCTATATTAAATGGACTATTTTAGTAGTTTACCCAAAATGTCAAAACTTGATGTTTGGTCTTAATTTGGAATTTCTAGAAGACAGAAACGTGTATAGAGTAGGGATGGGCATGGACCCCAACCCGATATGTTTCGACCCGAATGGGTCGGGTTTTTAAAAAAATTGAGTTTGGATCGGGTATTTTTTAAATGGTGATGTTCGGGTCGGGTTGAATTTGAGTTAAGAGTGAAAAATACCCGATCCGACTCAAAAAAATATAATTTTATCTTATATATTTAGGATAATTACAATAATAACCCTCTATATATTATTATTTTTAATTAAATCACTATTTTTATTGAATAAAAATAATATTTTTATTATTTCGGGTCAGGTTTGATCAAGTACGGATTTTATCTAAAAAAAGTCAAGTCGGGTGGAGGTATATATTTTTTGGGACAGGTTGAAATGGGTGAAGGATGTAAAATTTTCGGGTCGGATTGGTCGAAACCCGACCCATTCCCATCCCTAGTATAGAGATGCAAAGAAGGTTTTATTTCTTCCTATTAATAAAAGCCATTTAACTACTTCGTATTCATGGTAAATTGTGTATTTATTACTTAAATTATCAATTTTTATTCGTTTTAATACTTAAACTTTCAATTTTTTTTAAAATCATAGATAAAATTTAGTCTTTGTTTCATTTTAGTATCTCACTGTTAAAACTTTAGTTTTTATTTCATCTTAGTATCCTGTTCAAAATTTAACGTTAAGTTTTGAAAATTTTAAAAGTTTAGGTATTAATACGGACCAAAACTGATTGTTTAGTACTAAACGTGTTAAGTTTTTAGCGGCGGGTACTAAAATGAAATAAAAACTAAACTTTAGGTATAGTTTTTAAAAAATAAAAATTTAAGTACTAAAACGGATTAAAACTAATAATTTAGGTGCATTTTTGCGTAGTTTACCCCGTACTTATTAATCAGGAGGGGTTATAACTGTAATTTCATTTAAAACGGAGGAGATTTAAAACCTTCGAGGATTTGGTCAAACGAGATTATCCATTTTACCAACCAAAAAAAAGGTACGGTTTTTTTTCTTCTCTCATGATTTACGGTTTTTAATTGGCTGATCCAACGATTCCTGTCCCGTGATCTTCTTAACTGCTCAATTTCCCCGTTGGGTTCATCGGAAAGCCTAAAAAAATCGGCTAAAAAAGGGGTATTTTCTTTGGGTTCTAATGCATTTTCTTTCTAAATTCTTGGAGCCCCCTTTATTTCTTCTTCTTTTCTCCCGTTGATTCAAAGTTCGTGAGTTTGACGGGAGATCTGATGTGGGTATTACGTGGAATCTGAAACCCTTTTTTTATGTTTTGATCTTTGGTGTAATGAAATTGATTTCCAATGGAAAATATGTTGGCAGCAATCTTACATTTAGATTCTGTTGTTTGATTAGAGTAGAAGCTTTAGCATTTAACTTTTAGCTGGGAATTCTTTCTATGATCATTTAGATGCTTTATTGAACAATTTATGAACATTCTTTCCATGATTTTGCTTTCGAAATCGATCATTGTTTGAGTTCTAGTAATTATGTTTTCGCTCATTCCTTGATGACAAATTGTGTTACTTGACTTCTTTATCTGATAATGCCTTTCTTTTAGCTACGATAGACTGTGTGATCGATCCAAGGAAAGCGCGTTTGTCTTTGCTATGCTCATATGAAATCTTATCTCGAAAATGTTGAACGATTATGTGAAGATGGTTCTGATTGTTTGGTTTGTGAATACATTCTAGATCGGAAGGAACTGCGGATATTCCTTTTCGGTATTTAGATTTTATATGTTGAGAATATGATTATGATGATGGGATAAGAAATGTCACTTGTATACATTGACAAAAGGGACTTCCGGTCCGCCTTTTAGCCTGAAGAATGCAAGTACGCATGTATCGTCGTTTTCATATTCTGTTCTAACTCCTAATTTAGAGCTTCCGATGTCACATTGGGCTATATATGAAATGTGTCATTTGGGGATGTGATTGAATGACCAAGGTGATGCTTCAAATCTCGGGAATCTATTTTAATGATGGATGTTCATCTCTGCTGTATATGCTGTCCTGTGTTGTTATACTTGTGGATTCTCTATTCTTTTATCAAAATCGGGTTTAAGTTTGCGTTTTCAAATGCAGGAGAAAAATTGACATTATATGGATAGTAAAGTACCGCCTCAAAAGGATACTCAAGAGCTAGCTCGCGAGTTTCTTATCGCAATATCTTATTCCGTACCCGATAGTGATCCTAATCCAGATCGTTCGTCGAAGATCGTGGACGGTGCGAATGGGGCTGTGGCTGCAAATGTCGACGAAGTTGAAAAATATAGGTCTGAACTGATTTCTATATCCAATGCACAATCACCTGATGCTCAAGTGCCTCCAGTTGTGCTTGAGAACCATGTAGGTTAGTGGGAACATATTTGTAATGGGAAACTTTATTACAATACAGTGGCTGTTGATGTTTACTAGAACTTCCTGCTGTAGTGTTGTCTGATTTTCCAGATAATGTTGTTTTGCTTTGTATGTGATTTTCTCCAAACGGATGTAAATAAGGAAATGTACTTTTGTAGGCATTATGTCGTGTTAAAAACTCGGAATTCTGGACATGATATTCGTCTCGGCCACCGGATGTTTGCATCGATATCCTCTGATTTCGTTTGTTTTGTTATTGGTAACCAAATTTCTTTATGTCCTGACCCATGTCTGTCCTCAGTGTTAACTTCTTTCTTTGGGTTTCATGCAATCGAATTGTCGAAAACATGTGAACATGATCGTGTCGCCGGGCGGTCATCGGAATGACCTATGGTGATTGAATGTTCTGCCTGTTGGAATGAGATTGAAATCTTTAAGACTTGTGTAAGTTTTTAGTGTGGATGAGTTATGAAGTGTAAGTTATTAGTATGAATGAATTGAAAAGTTTAGGGGACATGTTTAAGTTCGATTAATACTTGATTTGAGTTGACTTAATTTAAATTTGAGTTCAATTCGAGACTTTAACGAGTTTAATCTTACAAAGTTCAATGTCTCTGGAAATATAATATTCATTTTTATCGCTGATGTTACTAGATAAGCTAAACAATGAATACATTTTATATCTTAAACAATAAACAACTCTTTGGCAAAGTTAAGAAAGCACACTAAGCTAATCCAGCTAACATAAACAGAACAATGAGACATGTCCTACTCAGGCAATGCCCCACTTTACACACAGGGCAGTGTTGGAAGAGTCTGCTCTGTTAAAAGATTTGCCTTCCAGCCGGACTCGGATGGTCTCCTTAATATCTCCCAGCACTTCTTCCTTTGATTTTGCTCTGCTCCTAAACAATCTGCCATTTCTTTCCTTCCATATGCCATAAACGTGACCGGTCCAAACAAGTTTAAGAATTCTCACAATGAGAGACTTACCCTTGAATAGCAGAGAAGCCCAAGTCAGTTCACCATCCCAACTGCTAGTTCCACGAGAGATGCAACACAGTTCAAGAATAGAGCCCCATAGCTCCTTAGCAAATCGACATTCAAAGAACATGTGATCTCTTGTCTCTGCCTCATTGCCACATAGTAAGTATTTATCAGTTTCAATGGTTAGGCCCATTCGCAAGAGCCTAACCCGAGTAGGCAGCCTGTTTAGTATGGTCATCCAAACAATAATACTATGTTTGGGGATAGGACCAGAGAACCAGATCAAATGGTGCCAAGGAACCTTGGGGCAGGGGTGCGCAATTCTTCCCAGATATACCTCGTACTAAGATCACAGACCTGACTCGAAAAGAGGTGAGCAACATCAGGCCTAATTTTCAGCAGATATTTGAAGCTCCAGCTTGCATTCTTAGGGATTTCCATTTGTCAAAAATCAGCATTCCTAATAACATAGTATTATTGTTTGGATGGCCATACTGAACAAGTTGCCTACTCGGGTTAAGCTATTACGAATGGGCCTAGCCATTAAAACCGATAAATGCTTACTAAATATTAATTTGATTATTCAAAAACATCTTTTTCGAAAAAGTTGAAGACGACTATGTTGTATGCCATTTTCAAAATTATTGTTCAAAAATCTTATTTGAAAAATTTATTCTATGGATGCAATAGATGGAAAATTTATTTTTTTCCACGATATTATGTGAGCAAGTTTACCCTAACTACGATAATAAAACATTAATAAGTGAATAAATTTAATGGTCAAATTATTAAAATATTAATTAAATAAATATTATTTAATTCACCATCCACCATTTTTCAGAGAAAGAAAGTTGTTCAACCAAGAACGAGGACTACCTTAAGAAATCACAAATTCTAAAAATTTAGAAAATAAAGAAAATATTTTAAAACCTAAAATAAAACCTCGGCCTATGCACCTCCTGAGTTTCCTTGCCATGCTTCGATAGGTAAATGGTCATTAGGAGGCATATTGAGTGGCAAATTGAAGAAAGGCAGCACACCCGGTCCGGCGCCGGCATCGGAAAACATGTTGCTTTCGCCGCCATCGCCGTCGTCGACTTGAATCTCATCCTCTTCTAAGGAAAGTTTCTCGTACGCCACATTCGTAAACGACGATGCTATGAGAATAACGGGTCCAGCCGCCGTCAGTTCACCAACCACACTTCCACCAACAACCCGCCCTTGTCCGGCAGCCAAAAGGATCGTCAAACTGGTGGCGCCCGGAGGAGCCGGCGGCGGTAAAAACGAACCCGAAAGCGATAATATTTCGAATCTTCCCTGAAGAGTTAAAACAGCTCCAGCCGCATCCGGCTGTCTAATGCTGACGTTCGTCACCGTACCGCTCCCACTCAATACACATATCCCTCTTTGTCTTCTCCGAGCGTAGCTGGCGACGGAGTCGAAAACTTCGCAGCCGTTCGAAACTTCAAGAATCTCAGCTCGGAGCGTGTTGGCACTCTCTCTGGCGACGATTACCGGTGGCTTCGGCTTGTTCTTCGAACCTTGTGGACGACCCCTTGGCCTACGAGATAGAACAAGGTCACCCGAGTGGGCACCGCCGTTGACAAAGTCCTGAACTTGGTCTGAACGGCCACCACTGTTTTCTGAAACGTCGTGGTCTTCCGGTTCGGGTTGGTGGTGTAGGTGAAGGTCCGGCCTTTGAAGGTGCTGAACGTAGATTGAAGCAGTGGCTAAATCGAGACCGGCCATGCGAGCATCAAAGGTAAAAAATAGTGGGAAAATGGATTAAAAATGGTGCTTGAATATATAATAATAACGAGCGAAAGGGTTTTATTTTATAAAAAAGAAAAACAAAGAAGAAGATGAAGATGAAGAAGAAGAGTAGATCAACTGCTCTGCAGGGAAACAATGGAAGAAGAGGGGCAAAGTCTTGAAAATTCACAATCATTTCTCGGTCCAAATGTTTAAATAATATATATACACCCTAAATCTTTAACACTGTAAAAAAATGCAAGGGCAAGTTATATATTTAGCCACTAAACCATTTTTATACTTTTGTTTTGGTCACCCAACTATTTCTTCATTCCAAAATCATCACTAAACTTAATATTTTTTTTTCGTTTTGGTCCTATTTTTACTTCAGTTGTATATTGGAACATTTAGCATAACACTGGAAAGAGTTGTCACCCACATTGGAGTAGTCCTGGTAACTAAAGAAACTATCGACGGCGGCATTGCCACCTTTGGCCAAATGATTGTACATTTCTACTCTACCAACATATCCTCATCCAAGGCTTTCTTTATTTTCTCATTTCTGCATGCACATATTTTTTCCTGACATACAGTAAATATGCTATTCCCCCCACATTAATTCATGTCCAAGTTTTTAATTTGATTTCTCTTCTTCTTGGTCATTTCAATGAGGTCATCTCATATGTAGACAACTTGATGCAGTTTTTCCAGACGATATTGTTATTGTTTTTACTCTCTTTATTGAAAATTTCATGGTTGCTAACCTTTTATGTCATGGGGGTTCAACAGGGATCCATGTTACCAAACATATAATTTTTAGACGGTATTGAAGTTCCCATAACCGCCTGTGGCGGCAATTGCGTAGGTGTTGAAGTTCTAGTCAACGACATTTGATCCATTAGTGTAACTGGAGAATAAATCCTTGTGACGGGCATAGTCCCATCTGTATCGGCAGAGAGGATAACATTTTCAACTGTTAATGGGGACACTTTGGAGAGTAAAAAATTAGTCTTTGGGATTTCATTGTTGAGCTATTTGTTCCTATAATGAACCAACGAGACTCTGGGAGTAAACGAATTTTATGTCACTGATGAATCACCGACACCGTCGAAAGCCACCTGTATTGTTCAAAAACAAGACAAGACATACGTTGAAATAAGTAAAGATTATCAACAACAACAAATGGAAAAACAAGAATGACAAAAAAATCGCTTACAGTAAAGGATGAGAAATGGAGAAAGGAGATGAATAGAAAATTTCATAGAGGAAGCATTTTCCAGTATTCTATTTTCTTTTCAATTTCCCCGAGAAAGAAAGTTTGTGTGGTTGTTTCAAGAGTTAGGGTAAGGTGGCAATGCTGCTGTCGATAGTTTCTCTAGTCTTATGCTAAAGGTTCTGATGCAATTGAAGTAAAAAATGGGACCAAAACGAAAAAAAAATAAGTTTAGTGATGATTTTGAAATAAAAACTAGTTGGTGACCAAAACAAAAGTATAGAAATAGTTTAGTGGCTAAATATGTAATTTATCCTTGTATTTTTAACAAAGTTAAGATTTGGGACAAATGAAATAACGACTTCAAGGGACAAAATATTTCGAAAATACTTTAATGGACATCTCGTACAAATGGTATATTTTAAGGTTCAATAGTGCATTTAAGCCTTTTTGTTTTGTTTTGATAATATAATTATTTTTTAAATCATATCTACTATTATATTTTGATTTTATTTTGATCATTCATTATTAAAAAAAATTAACATAATTATTAACGTGATATTAAAAGAACCAATAATAATATGACGTTATCTTATGGTGACACGTCAACATCATTATTAAGTTTTATGGTGGATGACTAAAATAAAGTTAAAACTTAACGTTATACATAATTTTAACACAAAAAATTATTGGGTGATTAAATATTAATAAAAATGATAGTTGAAATATTAAACGTATAATTTATTTTTTTAATAATTTTTTGAAATATTTATTACGGAAAGGAAGGTAGTGCGTAGGGGTGCTTATAGAACGAGTCGATCGCATGTTAGGCAATGCTCGACTCGTGCTCGTTAAAAAATTTTGTTGCTCAACTTAACTCGTTGCTTGTTAAAATTTTGCTCGACTCGTGCTCGTTAAAAAAACTTGTTGCTCGACTCATGCTCGTTAAGCTCGTTACTCGCCTCGTTGCTTGCCTTATTACTCGTTAAGCTTACCAAAAATTTTATCTTATTTTTTAACTATAGATGAAATCTACGAATACTATATATATAGTTTAATATAAATTTAAATTGATAAATTTAACTAAAAAAATATCAAAAATATGTATCAAACAAATTCAAAATCTAAACTCAAAAATAAAAATCCACAAATACATTAAATAATAATTAAAGTTTAATTTTTGAGTGTAGTAAAACAATAATTATTAATTAATAATTTAGTATTTTTATTAAAAAAATTAATAGATTAGTCATTTATCATCTATTAGTAAATTAGTAAATTTTTAATGAAATAATTTTTTAAGATAACTAGTAAAAAATAAAATAAAATTAACGAATTACTATGCGAATTTATCGAGTCGAGTTGAACTTTGCTTGACTCAACTCGTTAAGATCTCGAGTCAAGCTCGAATTCGTGTCAAATCAACCCGAGTTAAACTTTTATCGAATAGAATTTGAACTGCTTATGAGCTGCTCGACTCATTAATCACTTCTAGTAGTGCTTAGTGGATACCAATCCTACTCTCATTGTCTGGTTCGTGGTCTTAAGAGACATTAACTCACGGGAGATAATAGTTGGTCGGGATCATTTTATCGTGATTATAACTGAATTAGTTCTTTGTTTTCATTTGTATTGCATCTTTCTATAAAATATTTCCATAAAAATAATTAATAATAGATTAATGTTTAATATATTTTTAATATATAACTCATGATTTAGCATCCAAAATAAATTAAATAAATTATGTTTTAAATAATGTTTATTGTCATCATGGTCGATGAGAATAATTTAATCTTGTCGATCGTCGATGATTCATCTCTTCTGATTTAGATATAGAGTAGTAATTGGTGAGATTAGGGATGGGTACGAGGCGGGACGGGCCGGTTTTTTGCCCCCCGATCCTAATATGAAAATATATTCCCTAAACCCGACCCCGTCCCGCCCCAATAAATTTTAAATTTTCTTTTGCCTCGATCCCACACCAAATTTTAGATTAAAACCCATATCCAAATATATTAATATTTTAGAATAATTAAAATAACATATTTTATAATAATATATTTATAATTATTTATTATATTTTAAACTATTAAAATTGTAGCGTTTCTGATCTCGGGTTAGGAGTTTGAATTTACCCGAGATGGGCTTTGGGAAAGTATTTTGGCATAGACGAATCCTTGACCTAAAAACAAGTGAAATTGGGCTTGGATTGAGCCCAATAGTAGATAAAAATGGTATTTTTAGTTTGCAGCCAGAATTAGAGGGATCAGGGAAGCGATTTCACCATTTTATTTTCAAAAGACTGAAAACCCATTAAAATGAGTGATATCACGTCTGAAGAATAGCTCTCTTTTCCTTCATCAACTCTTGTCTTCTTCTCTTCTCCTATATTGGAAGTGAAAGAAAGGAGAAAACTTTGGTTTATTCTTCAGTTTTCTTATCAAACCAACGTAAGATTCATATAGCCCTCTTCATAAGCTTTATTTCAAGCTCCTAAATACAAGGTTTGGCCATAGTTGCAAAAGTGGGTTTTGTGGGGTTTAAGGTGCATGAAAGTTCTAGTTTGTTTTCAGTGATTGCTAGTACTAGAAAGTGTTTTAAAACCCTTATTAAACCTTTAAATTCAGTTAGTAATCCATCTTTTAATTCTTATCTAGTGAGAGACTTAGAGAAAACTCTAAGGCTAAGGGGAAAGAAAAAATTACCTTGGGTTGAGCCATTGACACTACCAACAACCTAGATACTCAGGTAACTCATTTCTAACTCACATATACTATGTGTAGCTCATTTAGATGAGATTTGGTAGGTTGCATGAGCTTGAAGCATTTTCATGGTAGATTCATATTTTAGGCGTTTCAACATGCGTTAAGATCTATTTATGACCCATATTATCAAATAAAATACTTAAACATCAGTTGGGGACCTTAATGGGGCAATTGGGTATGAAAAAACTAGGATTTTCGTGCTAAAACAGAGCACCCAATAGCGACAGTATTGATACTGTAAGAACATTATTGATATTGTTCTTCAGTCAGGCATAAATTGGGAAATTTTATAAGGGTAGCATCAATACTCATTCATTGAGTATCGAGGGCAGGAGAATCAATACTCTCCATAGGGGTATCGATATTGGGTATTTTTTTCAAAACAACGAACCAAAATTTGGTATCGATACTCAGTCAAGTATCGATACCCAATACCAGGGTATCGATACTCACCCTAGAGTATAGATACTACCTTAATCCAGAAGCCACATCAGTCAAGGGGTATCGATACCAACATGTGGGTATTGATACCAAAAATCTAGTATCAATACTGAAGGGTCAGTATCAGTATCCACGGACAAATTTGGATAAATAATCCTTGGATTTAGGGATCAGACTCGAGGTGCCCAAAAACTCATAATAACAAGGAATAAGACTTCAAGCGAGAACAATAATAAATATCATAACAATAGAAACAATAACATGTAGGATTACATAAAACTAGCCTTGTTTGAAGCTCGGGAAACAACCAGGACACCCAAGTTCCTCTTTAGTAGAACATGATAGTCAGTGGATATCCAAGTCAGTGCTAAGGCGCTTCAATAGCCGACTGGGCACAGATGCCCGAAGACTCGACTGAGTAAGTTGGCGGGTATACGTTTCCGATGCAGCTCCGGATCTCACCCTAGATATCCGAGGGTATCTCAGAAAGGCTAGAGAGGTGTGTGAACTATGAGATGCAGAACCCTCAGCCGCACCATGATGCCTACTCAATATTTAAATCAGTAACTTTACATGTTCGGACTTTTGCCACCAACTATCTCATTTTAGTGAATGCATATAGTATAATACAATTATTAGTGAGGCACTGAGCTCGTAAACTCGGAGTTC